TTTCTACCTGATGATGACAAAACCTTGTCGAAACGTTGTACGTTTGATGTTATGTTAAACTTATATTAAAGTTTTTCTTCATTACCCATTCAAGCCGTTTCCAGCCATTATTAGTAAGGTTTTGTTTTATTACCGGTATAATAATTTATCTATACTATTTGTTATTCAGTTACGATCTATGTAGGTAACTTCCTGTGATACAAAAAGCTATGGTGTCAGAACGTGTTATTACAGTAAATCTTGCACCTACTAGTCACAATTCTTTAGCTACAATCAACTCACCAACAAATCTCCTGTGTAACTGCAGTTGTACAGAAAAATGACTGTTGTATGCTGTAAGATTCACCATTCACTGTAATAAAAAGAAGAAAAAAACTTTTATTATGTTTAATGATCAGTCAGTCTATTAAAATTGCAATTTTACTATTGCACATATTAATGCTGTTGGATACACGTAAAAATGTGATTAGTATACAGACATGAACAGAAAGTTTGGTCTTTTAAGGTTAATATTTTCTTACCTCTCTGCACCACTAACAGCTATTACCTCATGCACAATTACCTTGTAAATCCCTGTGCATGCCACAATCCTTGAACAAACTCCCACACACATCTACATGTATTGCACTAGCCAATGACATAATGGTCATAATTTTGAATCCCTTCATCAACATGAGGGTGACACAACTTTCATGTGCAGTAATCCCCAAGAGTACTAGCCCATAATCATAGGCTCACTCTTGGTGAGGCAAACAAAATGCACTACAAGTGGGGGAGAAAGGGTGAGAGGTGATGTAGAGAGGAAAGTATCTATCTGAAATACATTTTCAGGTATGGAAAATGTTAACACCAAAAGACAGTACAACTAAAGACAGCAAGTTGAGCCAGGTGTTTTGGCTAAACCAGGTGCTGTTTTGTTTTTTTGTAAAAAGAGCAGAAGTGGCCATATTAACTCTATAGATATATTCCTTAATCAGTCTTGCAGAAAACCCCATCTCAACTGGGAGCACTGAGCAGGTGAAGATTGATTTAACACTGTCTGTAAATGTAAATTGTGGGTATGTATTCCCTGTCAGACGATGCCAACCACTTGATGGAATCTGATGACACCAAATATAATGACTGTAGTGTTTAGTTGTATGCGATATGTTTTTTTCTTGTTCTTTAATGTGTAAAAAAAGAATGGTACACACATGGTAGTGTCATGAAATCTGAGGGACATGGAAATCAAACTATATCAGGAAACGAATTGCAAAACTCATCAGACTAGAACCTCTGGGTAGACTGGAGAACGGAAACTGGAGGAAGACAAAAACAAGAGGCGTGTGAAACCATCCAGACTGGAACCTCTGGGTAGACTGGAGAACGGAAACTGGAGGAAGACAAAAACAAGAGGCACGTGAAACTGTCCAGTGATGTAAGTAATGGGAAATTAATGTGTTAGATATCCACATACCAGCTTGCAAAATCTCCACCAAAAGTCAGCATCAAAAGGAGGAAAGAGGCTGTGATATGCCTAACTTAATGGGAAGTGATGATAACAAGTGGTCAGTAAACTCACCCAAAAAAGAAGAATAGGTCAGACAGAGAAGCTGTAAAACCAACTGGTTGAAGAAGTAGGAAGTAAGCCATGGTGATGGTGGTGTCCACAAATGGGGGTAGTCTGAGTAGGATAGCATCAGACAGCTATAACTGGAACAAATGCATAATGAGGAAACAGAAGAGGAGAGATGGAAGAAAAACAACTGATCTTTCATCTGGGTTGTCCAAGGCTTCAGAAGAAAAGAACAGTTAGGGAAAGTGCAATCCACATAAGATCAAAAATGCTCCAACCCAAAGAGATGCATCAATGAAGAGATGAAGATCCAGATGTGCGGACAGCAGAGGAGTGCAGATTGCAGTGTTGGCATGATTAAGCCACCAAGACATATCCTTGAGAACAGAAGACAGCAGCATCACAAAAGAAAACAGAGTAACACAGGAGATATTGCATTCAACATTCAAAGTCCACTGAAGAAGTCTCACATGAGCTCAGCGTAAAGGGACAAGATGTTCAAGAGATATGAGTGTCCTCAAAAGAGAAGCAAAAGTTGAGGTGACTAGGCACTTCATGTCTTGTAGATGAATGGGGGAAGGCTAAGTCTGATTGAGTCAAGAAATGAAAAAGATTCCCAGGTGGACCAAGTATTGAGTCAGAACAAAGAACAACTTGGAAAATTTGACCAGCTCATCCAGATTCGAAGCTTCTTGGAGAAGATGTCACATGGCCGAGAAAGAGGCCAATTAAGAAGAAACAAGGAGGAGCCAGTCATCTATGTAATAAAGGAAAGACTGTGGACACAGCAAGCAAGTGCTTACATGATTCTATGAACAAAATAAGGAGCCAAAGTGATACTAAAGCTTGAAACTGATACACCTCATCCCTGTGAATGAATTTTTAAAAAATGTCTATGACAGAACAATCAGAATATGTAGAAAAGCATCCAATATGTTGACCTAAGCCATCCATATTCTTGGGGGAAAAGGACCCCTCCATCTTGAACTGAAGAACCACTAGATAATTGTTGAGAGAAGGAAGGTTGATGATGATATGCCAGTCCCCAGTCTTTTTTTATGGACAACAAAAAGATGACAATAAAACCTTGGATAGGAACAAAGGACCCTTTCAATAGCTTTATTGGCGAAAGGATCTGATAAAATGACCTCTATATGCAGAAAATACTGAAGACAGAAGGTGAAGTGAAATAAAGAGAGACGAAGTGGAGGAGATGAGAATGAAGATAAAAGCCATTTTTAAGAACTTGAATGATCCACCTGTCAGCTGCAAGAGGTCTGTAAACATAAAGATACGTGCTACCACCAACTGGGTACAAAGGGAATTGTTATCCACTATAAGGATCATGATATAGAGCTTCAGAGAGGAGACGAATAGAAGATAGGGAACAAAAAGGCAAAGATGGGAACACTGAGCCTGACTTACTGGCAAATTCTCTAAGCAGGTAAAAGGGATTTAAGAGAATGGGAAAAGAAAGTGGCCATAAGCCATGACAAAGTAATTCTGGATTCAAGAAGGATAAGGCATTTGAAAGCGTAAACAAAGCTGATCCAGAAAAAGTCAGTATGTACACATATGCCTTGATAACGAGAAAAACCCTAATAATCCTCAGCATGAGAGACAGTGAAGAATGGGAATACTCAAAAGACACAAGTGAAAGAGAAAATAAAGAACAAACCTGAGAAATCAAATCCACAAAGAGATTTGGAGGAGAAACACTTGCCTCCACAGGTAAAGAGAAGCCTAGTGCAAATCCTGGAAGTGGAAAGAGCCAATCAAAATCATTGTCCTTGTAGTCAGTTTCAGAAAGAGGGGAATGCACTCCCAACATATGTACAAGCAAATGAGGCAATGAAGATTATAACAAAACCACAACATTTTAAACAATGGCAGTAATGTTTTCCACAGTCAATGAACCTCCAATGGCCACGGAGAGAATCAGTGTTAGGTACATCACCAGAACCTTGGGAGAAGGTAGTAGCCACTGTCACTCGAGATGTTTTTTTTTGCATGCAGTAACTGAAAGGCAATGTATGTTGAAATAAAATAAATAAAAGTTAACAGTGGAATAAAGGTAGCATAAATCTCATCACACTGAACAAAGTGTAAACTTTGAGGAACATGTCCATTCGTGACAGTTCCAAAGAAAAGAATGAACGAAATGCTTATGAGGATGTGTCGCCCTTCTATTGGTGGAGGGTTATTATTACATCACGCACTAGCACAGTTCATATTAAAACATGTGTCTTAGGGGGAAGACAGCTCAAGGCTTGTGGCATACACAAAATATCAAAGGATCAACTAGTACATGCAGAGAAAATGATATCATTTTGTAATATGATTCTTTTGTCTTCAGTTCCAAAAGGCTGCTGCTCTACCCCACTTTTAAATAATTTATAACCAGGAATTTCAAAATACAGCAATTCCTATTTATCAATGCTATCCAAATCCAATCAAATTTCAGTAATTTACATGATGCAAGTCTTTCAACTTGAGCTCCGAACTCTTCCATTTTGTTCCAAATACCCCTAACATTAGAATAATAGCAATTAAGTTTATGTTTTAATTTATTATGTTTATCATTCAAATAGTAAGACTTATCTCAAAACTAATACCTAAATTGTTATACTGTAAACATTATTTTCCAATCTCCTCTTTGAATGTCTGAGATATCCTATCAATTTGTTCATTCCCAATTCCTAAACTTCCTGATCACTATGCAAATTTTGACTGTCATTAAGAAATTCATTAGAGCATCCTCAAATACTTTGCTATCTGCCCCACTTATTAAGTGGAGCCCCACTTATTAAGTGGAGCCCCACTCTAACTAAATTTGTCCTTACTTTGAAAACTCTCCCATATGTTCACCCCGCTCTGAAAGAATCCCTGGTAATCTTTTGTTTTAAGCCTTGTATCCTGCACTACTGAAGGGTCATATATCTGTTTCCATCCTCATGTTTCTGATAGAATTCTTTATACTTTTAAAGCAGTTCTTCTGATGTAAAATTACTAAAATAATCACTTCTACATGTATCTATAAACAAACAGTTTATCAATATATTTACTAAAAAAGATCAACTCACAAGAACACGAAATCTATGAAATACCATGTTCTTGTGAGTTGATCTACACTAGAGAGGCTAGTAGACGTTTTGGGTTGAGAATGAAAGAAAATAAAGAGACGTATAAAGGGAGTCACATGCATCACAGGAGTATGTCACGCTCCTATTGGTGGAGAAGTGACGCATGATGATTTACACGAGACACATTTTGGAATAATTTGATCCAAATAAGGGGGGGGGGGGGGAGGAAGGCTTGTGGCATGCATAAAGAAAAAATGAGCATATAGAGGGCAGCACTGGATGAGAATAGCAAATCTTGTGAGTGGAGGGAAGTACTGTATCAGAAACATTGGCTCGGATAAATGTTAGAAAGCAAGAAAAATCAAGGAATATTTCGATAACAAAATGCTGTCACTAGACAGACTCTCAGGTACAGAACCAACAATTTATGACTACCATTGGTCAGCAACTCACACTTTCCACTAACCTTGACCAAGATTCACCAGCCAATCATAAAACATTCTCCCCAGTCCATATACACACTATATCGATCTTTCATAATTTTTATTATGTGACAAAAATACAAAATATTTATTGATGAAAATGTTTCAAGCTTTTGTTCCTATTATTTTTCAAGAAAATAAAATTTTTTTTCACTAACATGTAAGATGTCAGTTTTGAAAACAAGAAATAAAATGATAATGTTATTGAAAAAACACTTAAAAAGTTTGGTTAATAATAAGAGACATTACACTAAATTGTTGCTGAAATAAAGAACGCAGTTTCATCTTTCGTCTTACCATTGTTTAAATCACAAAGAAATGACTGATCAACATAATTATCAGGGAAAGCCTGTTTCTTATACAGTATTTTCTTCCACATATCCAAATCTTCTGGCTGACTGACAAATAAAACAAGAAAAAAAAAACATGTTAAAACATATCATTGTACGTGTTACCAACTAATCGTGCATGTTTGAAGTGGTGAAAATTGAATGGTATAAATGTAGGCACTCTACAACAAGAAGTCTGGTAGTGAAAAATAAAATACTGGGGTGCGGCTTGTAGGTTCAGGATCAAACGTAAACCATATAGAATGTATAGTAATTTGTTCATATTAATTTTGGTACAACACATATAGACAAAACTTCATATAATGAATTTGTGGCGATTAATCAAAATATTTTATTACATCGTTTGTCTTGTATGTTTTGAGTTTTTCTACTGTAAATCATACATTTAAAAGAAATTAAATCATTTATTTTTTTTCATTTTATAACATCTATTTTAAAATGAGATTTTAGCCTTAAATTAAAAGAACAAAATAACCCCATTTTCTTTAATACCAATAAGGAACACATAAATATGATAATCAAGATATTTATCAAGGATATCCTAGTCGTTTAACAAACAGAAAATCATTCATTAAATTCAACATTCATTCTTTTTGAGCTTCTGTATAAAATCACAGACTGCCATTATATATATATGGAAACTTGTTCCACAAATTTACCGTTCTGTTGGAGAAACCAAACTGACTCAACTTGATAAGTGTCTGACATTTCCTGAATCTTAAATATATGAATTCTTGTCCTGCTGCATTTGAAATTAAAGAAAAAATCAATTTTATCCACTTCTTTAATGATATTGTATACTTTAATTATATCAAGAAAGAACAAGTTTAGAAACCTAAACCTATTCCCGTATTACAAACCAAAATCAATGTAATATTCCTACTCTGATGTCTCTCCAACATTTCAATGTTCTTCTTAAGATAAAGTGGTCAAACTACATACAATGGTTCAATTCATGTCTAACTAGTGACTTAGAAAACAAAACCATAGGGTTATAGTCAATATTTATTTATATACAAACTCACAATTCTGTTAGCTTTATACTTGAAATAGAACACTGTCACAAAGGTTAGAAGTTGTAATGTATTGGGCAAATTGAGCCAATACCTCAATAATCTTTTCGTCATAAAAATTAACAGGATGATTCTTATCTAAATCATGTGTAATATATATTATGACTCGCATGCATAGTCTTACGTTTATCAAAACTGTCACCTTCTCTATGTTTTGTCAAACTAACTATATCTCTTTTTAAACTCACATGCATAGTCTTACGTTTATGAAAACTGTCACCTACTCTATGTGTTGTCAAACTAACTATATCTCTTTTTTTAAACTCACATGCATAGTCTTACGTTTATGAAAACTGTCACCTACTCTATGTGTTGTCAAACTAACTATATCTCTTTTTTTAAACTCACATGCATAGTCTTACGTTTATGAAAACTGTCACCTACTCTATGTGTTGTCAAA